GCCATTCTAACACATGAATATTCTTTTTTTTAAATGAATCAAAACATTTTTTACAAATAAAAAACTGAAAAGTGCAATGTGCAAAATTATTTAGCCCCCTTGCGTTAATACTTTGTAGCGCCACCTTTTGCTGCGATTACAGTTGCAAGTCGCTTGAGGTATGTCTCTATCAGTTTTGCACATCGAGAGACTGAAATTCTTGCCCATTCTTCCTTGCAAAACAGCTCAAGCTCAGTGAGGTTGGATGGAGAGCGCTTGTGAACATCAGTTTTCAGCTCTTTTCACAGATTCTCGATTGGATTCAGGCCTGGGCTTTGACTTGGCCATTCTAACACCTGGATACATTTATTTGTGAACCATTCCATTTTAGATTTTGCTTTATGTTATGGATCATTGGGCCTCATGCAAGAACCGTTCTTACAAACAGATTTGTTCTTAAAATGTGCGTGCGAGTGATTTAGGAGAATTTGTGGCATTCACCAATTTTCTCAGATTCTAAGATTTTTTTCAAATACGAACAAAATTCATGTCAAAGTCATATATTTTACGAGCAGTCAGTCTGATGTTATCCAGACAAATTTTCTTCACTAATAACTTTATATTTCATTAGTTGGAAAATATTTTGAGTTGAAAATAAATCACACTCCATAATTATGTTGACAGTAGGCTAGACCGGAGTACATTAGTAGGTAAACAGTCTGAAGCCATTCTATGGGACCACTAGGGAGCACAGTCGGGACAGTTTGAAGCCATTATATTCAATTCAAATTCAATTCAAAAATACTTTATTGATCCCAGAGGGAAATTAGGTGTTGTTGTAACTCATTTAACTAAAAACTTATTGTAGATGCTGATGGCTGTGGGCAGGAAAGATCTTCTGTAGCGTCTGTATTACAGCGAAGTTGAAGAAGCCTCCGACTGAAGACACTTTGTCTTTCTATGACAGTCTGATGAAGAGGATGGTCAGGGTTGTCCACAATGTTCTTGATTTTATGTAAAACCCTTCTTTGCACCATCATCTCCAGAGATTCCACAGTCGTCCCCAGAACATGGGACTGATAAACGCTGATAATGTCCATTCAATGGACTGATAACATCCGAACTGACTGACTCTGGTCTACTTTAACCTAGCCTAGGTGCTTTTCTCTAAAATTAACCTTAGTGGCTTTGCGCCTCATACTAACCAGCTGACAGTCTGAAGCCATTATATGGGACTGATAACTGCTGATAATGTCCATTTAATGGACTGATAACATCCAAAGCGGGTGTCCAAATCCAGCTTTAAATTTTTCCACAACAGTATTTTGGACCTGCCTGGTGTGTTCCTTGGTCTTCGTGATGCTCTCTGYACTTTAAACAGACCACTGAGTCTATCAAAGCGCAGGTGCCTTTATATGGAGACTTTACACACAGGTGGATTTTATTTATGAGCATCAGTCATTTAGGACAACACTGGATCATTCAGAGATCCTCACTGAACTTCTGGAGTGAGTTTGCTGCACTGAAAGTAAAGGGGCCGAATAATATTGCATGCCCCACTTTTCAATTTTTTATTTGTTAAAACGTTTAAAATAGCCAATAAATTCCATTTCACTTCATGATTGTGTCCCACTTGTTGATTCTTCACAAAAAAATAATAATTTTATATCTTTATGTTTGAAACCTGAAATGTGTCAAAAGGTTGAAAGGTTCAAAGGGGCCGAATACTTACGCAAGGCACTGTAAATGATACCAAACAGCCTCAGTAAGACCCTACCAACATAACAATGATCTGAAACTTTCAACATCTGTCATTATGAAGAATAAAATGCATGATAACTTTTTCAGAAATACGTTTTTTTTTTTAGGCTTTATGTGTCTGTTTTCTAAGGGGTAGGTGGATGACTGGCATGTTTTCTATCACAGTTGTTGCAGTCTTTACCAGACATCAGTGTATGTTTTTATACCAAAGCTGTTGCAAAATGCTCACTAAAGTGAGGCGACGCAGTTTAAGTTGATTGCATCAGTAAAACTCATGCTCACATAAAAAAGGTGCTGTTTAGTTTTCAATCGAATAATGTTTTTTTTTTTGTTTGGTCTTTTGTGACTCAAATTGTTAGAGCCAATTTTCATTACTGACAAAAATAAAACACTTACAGTTATTAGTGTGGGCAGGGGAACAATTTTGTAGTGTTTTTGACTTAGGGTTTCATGAWGTAAAAGCTAAAGCAAACCACCACTGTGTGTGCATTTTTGACCCAAGCTCTTATTACTTTCTGCTCTTTGTCATCCTTAAAATAAACTGTACATCACAAGTCTAGAAAAATTCTCAAAAACATTCCAACAAGCCTCTGTAAGCTATGATCAGATGTAGAATCTTAATAGCAGAAGTGCTAAAAACCACCGTGTTCCTGTTGGCAGGCTCCATATACACCTGAGTTAATTTCATTTTTTTCCCTTTTTTTTCCTAGTCATAGTCGCCACTTCAACATCCAAGTTGCAGTTTGACTGAGAAATAAACAGGAATTAGTTTTAACACTGATGTTTGGCAATGTTATGAGCAAGCTGTCAGTCAAAGTCGCAAATTATGAATACATTTTTAATAATTTGCTCTAAAGACAGAGTTAACATGGATTTTAATGTGCAGCGTTATGTGGCCCTCTGGTTGTRTCGACAAGAAATTGTGGCCCCTTCCATCGTATAAGTTGCCCATCCCTGGTCTATGGTTGCTCTCAACCACCAGATAAAGGTTATACATACTGAGGAAGATTTCAAATGATTGACTGTAAACACACTTTTATTAGGAATCAAGGAATGCATGTTTTTCCTGTTTAAGTGAAAGCTTTTTTATTGTTTTTATCCCCCCATAAGGCATCCTCCACAACTACATATGCTGCAGGCTGCCATTTACAGTCTCTAGTGAGGTGCCACATTTTTGCATGAACCTGTCAAGATTCATACCAGCATAATCCATTAAGAGGCATATCTGTGAAGTATTTTCCTGATTTACCCCCCCCCCCCCAAAAAAAAAGAGACAAAGACAAAAAAACAACAACATAAAAAACAAAGAGCAACAAGTCATTTTTTGAAGAAATAATTAACAGATTATTTTAATATTTATTTCTCTGAGTGAGTTTCTCTGGGTTTTCTGGTGCTTAGCGATGAGCAGATACTTTGCCTCAGTAATGTCATCTTGTTGTACAGTTTTACAAGTAGTTCTCCTGTTTGTGTACCAACCCAGTTCTGTTTCTCAGAGTGTGTAAGTACAGACTCTGCTGCCATGTGCTATTGTGTCTCTCCTTGCAGCTATGCTCAGACACCTCTGTAATCACACACACTGACAAAGACCTCATTCATCACACGCTCTACTGTAGGGGCAAACTGTAGGAGCACTTAGAAGATTGGCGCCACTTCTTGTGCCATAAAGCAACCTTGAGTTGTCTTTTTTTTACATTTTTAAAAGCCTGACTTTTTTTTTTTTTTTTTTTTTTTGGCCTGTAACAGCTGGATCACTCTGTGTATGGTGTGGTGACTTTTCTCA